GATGAAAGGCGACGCACGGAGGTCCTGCCGCAACGTCCTCCCCTCGTCCCTACCGGCTCCCGTCACGGACCCGGTCACAATCCTTCGTCAGTATTATTATCGGCCGTGTTTCCGTGATTCGATAACTGAATAACGCCGCGCCGGTGCCCTCCTCTCACAAAGGAGCCTTTTAACCCGCCGACAGCCCTGCGTTCCGCCTTTTTTCGCTCGCCTTTTTCACCCAGGACTCCACTCCGAGAATTAGGCGCCGCAGCTGCCTCCGCCACTTCTGGTTTGACAGTTTTATTTTTTCACCTTTTATTCTTCCATCCCATTTTTGTATACCACTACGTGGTATTTATGCACCGCGATAGAGAATTCATTGAATGAAGGAAACAATTTTTTAGCTCAAGGGTAATGATTTGTCAGAGTAACGCGGAGCAGTTTCATCGCTGTTAAGGGGCGTTATCCATAATCGGGGAACTGGAACAAATGACGATGCCGAAGTTGGGATCCGTTGGATTGGGTTAGTTGTAAGTCGAATTGTTAATCGTAATCGGAAAATAATTAGGGTCACCAAATCTCGCATGGAGGGGTTTCAATGCCGGCACTGAATCGACTCTAATTGTGAGAAATGATTCCGCGGGCTGTATCGACTGTTGATTCGAAACTCGTGTATTGACTTCTGAAGGGATGTTCCCTTGCCTTATTGCACTCGCGCATTCTTGTCCATTGTCACGACAATGCACACCGTGAGTCCCGAGATCTAATTGTCGAGCTCATTCGCTCAGTTGAAAATTAAGTAGCCATTATAGCGATCGGTGACGTAAAGAGACGCGGCGTCTCGGTTCATGATCTTGCAACCGCGTGAATAAAATTTTTTTTTATCGAATCGCATTAATTTTTTATTTCATTATAAATCGAAGGAAGTGGAGGAAGCGAAGCTTGATCAGCCAGAATTTTCATGAAGGTAAACTGAGATATAAATATGACGCCTATGACGTTTCCGCGAGACGTTCCGACATTTCTGCAAGGTGATGCCAATTATGATCGGATACCGCGATCGATCGATCGATTAGTTCTTTCCTCGGGAGAATGGCAGGGAAAATAAACAAAGTATTCCTGCCAGATAGAGTTTTGCCAGCCTCGGAGCCGCGGGCTGATCCAAAGTCAATGGTAAAGGGGAGCACAGAGAAGAATCCCCGATATTGCCGCTTGTATACCCGAGGCCACGAGGCTCATATCGAATCTTGACAATGTCCCCCATAGAGCAGACAGTCCACCATTGTGTCCCATTGCCTGCAGATATCTTCACACGTGGCACGCAATCACGGCACGCACCTACCGGTTACTCTTATGGCATAAATCAGGGTTTTTAAGGGTGGCTCAATAAACCGTTTCATCCTCCAACCAATGGACAATTGTCTTTTTTTTGTTTTTTTTAACAAAATTGAAAATAGTACCAATGACAATCTTTCCCCGTCACCTTAATTGACATGTAATGAACCGATTGGCACTCGTGATAAGAATCCAGGGTGGACAGGGGACGCAAGGGATGGGATTTCTCGAGTGACCAATGTACAATTGTCCTTATTTTTTAACAAAATTGAGAATAATACCTATTATATTCTTTCCCCGTCACCTTAATTGACATATAATGAACCGATTGGCACTCGCAACAATAGGCCTGGGTGGACGGTGAGCGCAAAGGGTGCGAATTCCCGAGTGCCGAATGAACGGGCTGGGAAAAAGAGAGGGGTGGCCGTAAGGGAGGATTTCCAAGCGAGGGATTACGATATTCCGGTCACACGTCACCGTTCGTTGATGTATTCGTCGTATGTAACCCAACGGGACTCCTATAAAATACTACCCCATTTTGTTCGGGCGAATAACTTATTGTGGCGTGCTCTATTTTGATACGGCAACGCCGACGCGTCCGGTCCAGAATACAGAGCGACTTCGTCGGCCGGACTTCGGGCCGCATCGAGCAAAACGCGGAATCCGATTTGCCGGAAGAAAACTCTATTGGCGTGGCAAACAATGACTAGTTTTCGAACCGGCGCGGACTTTTCCGGATTTTCTTGCGGACTTACCCGCGTTCCCTCAATTTTCACCCGCGCTTCTAAATCAACCCTTTGCTTCGCGAGACTCGATAGGGTAACTTAAGGCGGGATGAAGTCGTCTAAAGTTTGACCACCTTAATGTGCAGGTCCTATTTTTATTAATTTTTGTATGGTTTATATTTTGGAGCGTAGGGCCAGAATTTGTTATCTCCGAATGATACGCGATAAAGGGAATGACGGTCTCTTGGGCCCGAAGCACGTTATCAGAAATCGAAGAGCGTGGGAGTCGAATATAATTTGGAAACGTGTCGCGGAATAAATCGACAATGGGGCTCGGCGGACGTCATGATTAACCGAAACCATCGGCTTAACAATGGAGTAATCAGCGAGCTTTTCCTGAACCAGCTACGCGTTGTTGTCACCTCAGCAATCGCAACAATGCCTCGATGTTGGTACCATTGTTTCCCTATTGTTGCACTGTCCGACTGTATAATGATATCTACTCTTATTTCGATCGCCTTGATAATGATTTCTCATGATATCCCTCGACTCAAAAATCTCACCATGTGAAATTTCGCTACTTGAGAGATATCACCACGTCTACGATGGTTTTTTATTTTTTTTTGGAGAAGTAATTCAGTCTTAAATTATTCGTAACATTTAATGAGATCATTTTTAATCGCACATTGTGAATGAGTCACTAGGACGTGGCAGGGTCGTTTGAAGAAATTCCCGGCGTCTTGGAGAGAGGCGAGATAATTTGTTAAAAATTGTCGGGAGAAGACTGCAAATAGAGATAGTGTCCCGGCAAAAGGCGGGATTGTTTCATTGATGAGCAAGCATTGAAGAGCGGTGGGTGCGACGGCGTTTATGACTCGCACCCTCTTTCGTCCGGCATCCTATGAATGGTATAATCAGCGGTCGCGTGGCACCCTATTTCCATCCCCTGTTACCATCCCCCATTTCCAAAATCCATCCACGCCTCTCCTATCGGCGGATCCAAGGGATAGGCCCAAATAGAGATCAAATCAACCAGATTTAGGAGCCAGGAGTTAAGAGAGCGCGAAAAAGAGTGAACCGAAGAGTCTCTCTCTCATCTAACAATATTTTACAAACATTTCACGACCAATAATTAACGCAAAAGAAATCCTCATCTTACGTCTTATGAACGTCTATAAGAAGAGGCTCGATTTAACGGCAAGGATCGCAAATCGCTGCCTTAAGGGGATGTTTTCTTTGATATTCACATTGTAAAATTTCAGACAATTCGAGACACCCAATTAAAAAAAAAAAGTGTTATAGACCAGACCTCTATCGCCACTTTCACGTCACCTTAAGGGTGTTGGTACGTTTACATCTGGAGTTTTTGGAGGATTAAGCTATTAAGCTATGATTAGGGTTCTCCTTAAGCCTAGAGGAGGTAATGTAAAAACTTTTCTCCGTTAAAAAGTTTATTCCGTCAACACCTTTCGAGGTCCTTTTTCCGGCGGCTCAATTTGTTATCGCCCCTCTTTTCCCTTTTTAATCTCCAGCCTGGACCATAGGTCCTGGAGTGATAGAAACGACAAATATTTAAGTGGCCTCGCATCGGTTTGCTCGATTCCAAGGCACCGGTGGTCGCTGCCGGCATGCGATAGGAACTTTACGAGGCACGTTTGCCAACATAAAAGGGACATTATGCGCCTCGGTGGGACGCATCGATAGGTGGCCGCATTCTATTCGGCGCGAGTCTCTCTGTAAATACATCCCCATAAACGGTCTCCTACCTCCCACCCTGTATCTGCACTAACCTGGCCTCTCTCGGCCTTCTTTTCATCGATTATTCTCCTTTCCCCCTTCTTCGGGTCTTCCACCTTCGAAAAGGATTTTTCAATTCGCTATCTCCGTTAGAAATGAATTTACTGACCGATGCGCACGCAGCGTCTTTCATATTAAATATTAAATTAGAAAATCAGCATATTAAAAAATATTTCGGGATACTGAATTTACTAACCGATGCGCACTCAACATCTTTCATATTAAATATTAAATTAGGAAATCAGCATATTAAAAAATATTTCGGGATAGGAATTTGTTGACCGATGCGCACTCAAGATCTTTCCCCTGCGTTCAGTGTTGAGTATCACGGGAACGCTCCAAGTCCGAAGAGCAAAGAAACGGGAGAAGGGTATTCCTCGCGGGTGGAGGAGTAACCGGGGGCCACACCTGTTGCGTAGGTTGTATCTCCCGGGCGCCATGTCGGCGAAAGGGCCAATCGTGGGTGTCCATTAGCAGGGGTTTCTGGTGGGAGTCGCAGAACTCGTCTGGTTGGCCCGCGAGTCTTCGCTCTTCCTGGACTCTCCCGGCTCTCCCTGCTCTCCCTAGGGACTCAAAGAGACCGCGCACGCATTCCCGCGGGCTCCGGCCCGACTTCAGTTCCTCACGGAGCCCTCCAACTTCGCAGCGAGACTTTTTCGACCTCGCCAGCCCCATCTAATCCGAAGTTGAAGTTCCCCCGAAACTTCATTTCCGACACGAAGTTGAAACAAGAAGGCCAATCTCGGGGTATTGTCGGTTGATTAGCCAGTTTTCGCTTCGCCTCGAATTATCCGGCACTTGAAGAAATGTGAAGATACTCGAAAAGTGTGACTCTTATCCCGGTTTAACTCCCAAGAAGGAAGATCCCGGTGGTGCACTTCTGGACTTTTTCGGATTTCAAGTAGATTTTTCAAGTTCACGCGATGCGGCTCTTATCGGTGCATCTCTTGAGCATGTTGATAAGTGATAAGCAGTGGCAATCCGATTGCGGGTTGATTTTTTAATTATTTTATTATACGTAAAATTGACGCTCGGGATATGAGCCCTCGGTAAGGTGGTTTCGTGGGTAAGGGGACTTTAAATGAGCGATATCAAATTAGAAGAAGGTATCATTTTTTGACTGTCGAAGTTCGCGAAGTTTCGAAGTGCCGGGCTAGCGACATGTCGTCCAAGGCGCTTCACAATGAACACATTAAACGACCCATGAACGCGTTTATGGTGTGGTCCAGGGGGCAACGCCGGAAAATGGCACAGGAGAATCCGAAAATGCACAATTCCGAGATTTCTAAACGACTGGGAGCTGAGTGGAAACTTCTCAGCGAGAGCGAGAAGCGCCCATTCATCGACGAGGCCAAAAGATTGCGGTGAGTCGATAAAATATCACATTTATTTTATATCAATAAATTGCATATCCAAGAGATCAAATTTTCATTTTCTCCGTTGCGGTTATAGTGAACTTTTCATTATTCGGTCAATTGAGTAGTCCTACGTTGGGTCGTAATTTTTTTTTATTTACTTTAAATTATGCGAAGAAAAAAAATCAGCAAATAAAACCTTGTTTGTATATAACAATGTTTTAATCGATTCCATTGACGGATTAGTAAATCCCCTTCGGGCGAAAGTGCCGACTGCGAGGGATCGTTTCGATCGTTTCGATCGTTTCGATCGTTTCATCCCAAGTAATTGTCCTTTAGCCACCTATATCGGAGAAATGATTGCACCAAGGGGTAGCAAGGGCTAGGGGTGGCTCGGTACTTCATAATACGGTACATTGTACGATAAAGCTAAGGGCGGGTTGCGCTAAGCTCCGAGGGTGGCGTTGCTGAGCGCCTCGATATTCAGGGGGACGGACATCTTTATTACCGACCCTGAATATTTAATCACTGTTATGAGTTTATTTAGTTCAACGAGCACTAAAGCTCCTTCAAACTCGGGGTATGATTATCCTTCGCAGATCCTTTTCCCTAAGTAAACGTTATCGGGAACTTCTTCCCTCCTAAAGGTGGATACACACTTTGGGTGAAAATAAGAATTTACATAGAAATTTTTGTTAAAGGAAAAACCGCAAAAAAAAAAAATGAAAAGTCGCGCTTACGTGCCTCGAAGAAAAGAACGGGGGGCCTACCGAGGTTGTACAGCTTCGTCTGAAACAAAAGTAGAGGAGATGCGGAGGGGGTTAATGCAAAATCCATTTTTACGGGTGGAGGTGTCGTAAAACGAAAAAGGGCCGCTCCGATAAAGTCGTTCCGTTGGAGCCGGCCGGCCGTAGGGCGCCGTTCCGCTGGAGCCGCGTTGTCAGTGGCCCGCGGTAATCTGTCCATTCGTTCACGGCGACTCACAATGTGGCCCTCGAGATAACAAATAAAGCCCCATTGTCGCAATTGTGTGGATTTAAAAGGATTTGCGCCTGGCGCTCCTCCGCCTAGCCTCTCAACCCCGCTCTCGCGCTCTCTCTCTCTCCCTCTGTCTGCCTCCGCGTCGGTTTCTAGTCGCACACACCCCACCGACTAAGGGGTGACACCGACACGGACGCGGAACGGCACACGCGTGTTCGCCACCGCCTCCGTTTCCACTATCTTGCCCTTCGCGACCCTCCACCGCTGATATCTACATGCCTTGGTGTCAGGGGTCAAGCTAGAAAAAAATCATTCCCAATTTTCCCGCAAATTACAGATTACGATAAAAATTTCAACAATTGGCAATATTATCTTTGTTAAGAATATGTTATTAAGAATCGAAGGTTTTATCATAACGATGTGCACCTCGCCACCCTCACCGCTGATATCTACATGCCTTGGTGTCAAGCTAGAGAAAACCATTCCCAATTTTCCCGAAAATTTCGAGGATCTGGGAATTAATGGCACTTGAAGGGATGAACTTGCGAAGCTCGTAACTAACAGTTATTGTCCGCGATGCTGTCGCCGACTGCCGGTGGCTTATGTCGTAGAGAAGACAGAATACCCTGTTTATCGCGTGGAATGTGAATTGTAAAGATTACGCCCGGTGTTTATGCATTTATGCTGAATTATTGTCGGGGCTTTACCAATGTTTATGCTGATTTACGCTTTATGCTATCTGCTGGGACACATTGTCCCAGAATTATTATTCCGCCCTCTATCTCGCTCTTCTCCCTGCGTTGACCCTTCCGGAAGGGAGGAAGTCTCGATACTCACTTTCTCGATACTTTTCCCCAAATCGAAATTCACATATCGATCCTTAAATTCTTTCACCGATCTTTCTTAAACAAAAATTAATTGGCTCCTGGCAACTGATAGAAAAAAAAAATTTCTTTCGAGAAAACTCCCTGTATCAGGAAAGAGGTTAAAGGCACTTTGTTCCTATCATGTATTCTTTTATCAGACCGCAGTCGGACATAAATAAGGGGCGGGTTTGTACGGTGGTGGGTACATAATGGGGTATTATATACTGGAGATACGAGGGGTGCCCCCTGTCGACCTAATTGTGTGCACAAGATATTTACCTCGAATGCCCATGGTGTCTCGTCCTATCACACGAGTGACTTGATAAAACCCCTCTTTGTCAGCTTTTTAAAAATACCTTGATAATGCACCTCTTTGTTGGCTCTAAAGACGCCCTGATAGTGCCCTTCCATTTCAATTTCCACGAATTTCGCTTCTTAACCTGGACTTTGAGAGGGAATTTCAAAGAAACGAATTATAGAAAATGGCGGTCGCTGCGCCGCTTCGCGGAGGAGTAAAAAATTTGAATATATTATTCCCGTGAAAGGGCTTTCGAAATTTCCGACACGGCGGGGAAATTATGGTAGGAAAAATCTGGCACCTCCTGCTCGGGGAGAAATTTGCGAAAAAATGCGGGAATTGTGCGAGCTGCGGATTAAAGAGTTTCCATCGGATGAGAGCGCACATTGTTCCCATAAAATGGCGTCCGTCCTCGCTGTATTTCGGAGTCCCCCCCATCAATTTTTGTATTTATTTCCTCCCATATTTGGGTTTCTTTCGTTCTCTACGGGAGTCGGTTGCTTTTCTTTTTCTTTTCTGCATCCAGTGCGCGAGATATATTCCAAGCAAATGGCCGTCAATGGAGCCGAGAGTAGAGGTGCAATTTGTTATTATCGGGAATCCTATCGACAGGATTCGAAGGCAAATAATGAGAAGATAGCCGTGAAGAGGCCCCTTGATAAGTCTTATTTGCTGTCTGCCGAGAAGGCTCCGAGAAGTTCCGTTTCCGTTTGGGAAATAATCCCTTTACTCCGCGCGATTACTTTTATCTCGAGCCCGGCCACAGGAGATATTTCTCACCTTCCTCCTGACTTGTCGAATGTTTTATCTCGAGGGACTTTAACTCCAGAATGTACACAGGGGGGTAAACATGGAAAAGCCACATTGACATTTGTTAAAAGCATTACCCTTAAAATTGTATCCCTGGAAAATCCTCCGTAGTTCGGTACTTAATATTGCTAAATATATATTTCTCAATTGGGAGAATTCATCAGGGATGAATTTCATTTACAGGGCGCTGCACATGAAGGAGCACCCGGACTACAAGTACCGACCTCGGAGGAAACCGAAATCGCTGGTAAAAAAGGAGAACAAATTCGGGTTCTCCCTGTCGCCGCTGATGTCCCCAGGGGACACCCTGAGCAACATCTCCAGAGGTCTCCTACCGCCCCTGGTCCCTCCTGCCCACCACCCCCTGGTATCCCACGAGGACCTAAAAATCCCGCGTTTCTTCCCTCCATTCCCCTACCCACTCTACCCCTTGCAGCATAAACTAGGAGATGACCTAAATGGAGGCAAACTGGCTGCCGACCTGGCCCTGCAGGCGATATACGGAAGTACGTTCTACTCCCAAGCTGCAGCTGCAGCTGCATGGCCGCCGATTCTGCCCAGCCCGACCTGCATTCAGCCAAACTGCGGCTGTCCAAGTCCTCCGAAGGACCCCAAAAGGTCTCCTTTCCTGATGGGAGGCAAACCCGAGGACGAGGACGAGGACCGATTCGGGTCCAGGGTGGCCAGGGAGTCGGAGGGCGAGAACAGGGACGAGCGGTACCGGAAGCTGGAGGAGGCCTTTTCCGGGGCGGAGAGCAAATTCAGACCAGAGGAGAAGGCGGATGACAGGAGATTCTTCGCCGAGAGGTTCGATAAATTCCCACAGGTCCCCAGGAAGCAGGACACTGCGTTCTCCGTTCAGAGTCTGACTGGGGGGGCTGGGACCAACAGGAGTCATGTCATATGAAGGCCGCTTCCGGTTCTCCCGGATCTCAACTTCCGGGGGAACCTTGTCTCCACCTGGCCTGCACCTGATTGGTGGAGGGTACCGCCGATGTTGTCGCCGATCCCGCAGTCGACGGTTACCGGGGCCAGTGTCACGGGGAATGACGATGACGGGGAGAGGAATGATACCAGGGTGACGAGGACCAACACGGTGGCGGCTGTGGTCCAGTGAGATCGATCCCTGTCCACGTCTACATGGAATTGCAAGAAGGGAGAGGTATTCACTCAGAAAATCGTGGATTTTAACCTCGAAATGCTCGGAAATCACCAAAACGCTGTCACTATCTTAAGGCCGGACGTCGCTTGTCCCCGAACCGCATTGTTGTCCGTCATATCAAATCAAAGGCAGTCGGCTCTCGATGAAGAAAATCGTTATCACTGATTTCCGAGTGAATAGCCTCTCGGTAAAAAGTCCTCGAGGTATATTATGGAGGTCATGGTGCTTATCAGCAGGGCCGAAGGCCCTCCAGCAAGATCATTCCGTATCTGGGAAAATGTGCGAGTTCCTCTGTGGAAATCATTGCGGGTTAATTTCCACCATCCGATTTCCATCCTTGGGGGTATCCAGACCTTTTCCACCCGGGAAGCGATTTTCCGCGATTGGTCGGGCGATATGCCCGGGCCGCGAAAAATATGTAAAGACTCTTTTGGGAAAATCCGCGGAAGGGGACGTTTCCGCGGGAGGGAAGAGAAAGAGGGAGACGGACGATTCGGTGGAACCACTCGATAAGTCGACACAGAGAAATGCACGGGAAAATCGAATCGATACCGGGCCGCGGTTAAATCCTACAAAGAGACCTCACTCCCCCTTTGGCGACGTGATATACGCCCAGGGACCTGGAGAGTCCAATTTTGATGAGATAGCCAACCCTCTCGTACGTTATGCCTCCGCATCGGCGACGAAACCGAGCCGAAGAAAAAAGGAGCCCTCCCGACGGAAGCAAATCTCTTCTTTGCGGATCGCCCATGTGAAATAAGCCAAACGCTCTGAATGCTAAACGCACGGCCGAGCGATCTCGCGCGCTGCACCGCCGATGGGAAGCTTGACATCGGGCCTCGATTTCGACCAATCGCTTTTATTTCGCCCCTTTCGACATCGATAGTGTTCGCCTCTCCCGAAATTTTCCTGCCCGTTTTCAAGACTCCGGGAATTTCCCACGAGCGAAAATCTCGAAGTTCGGGCAGCGAAAAAAGAAATGGGAAACTAGATATGCTGAACAAAAAAAAAAGAAAAGAAATTCATTCAACCAAGATAATATTTTCTTGTGGTATTTTGTTAATTCGGAAAATAATTGACTTAACTAAACTCAAGGGGATCACTATATATATATTTTTTGTTTTTAATTTTTTACGATTATCTCCTTATAAAATATAAAATGTTGATCATTCTTTAGGATATGCAATCCTCTTCGGCTAGCACGACGAGGACGCGTTTTTAACCCCGAATGGAAAAAGTAAAGGGGGTGGTGATGTAACCGGGAAAGCACCATAGAAATTACAAAATGGAGCGACCATGAAAAGAGGAATATTTAAAGTTAGGCTAAAAAAGTATTTCCTTTGTCTCGAATCGGTCTGGAAGTTTTTCAGGAAGTGTACAGGACAAACTAGAATTCTGTTGGAAATTTATTGTTTACTACAATGACGGAAGTCCCGTCAGTAGATTTGACTTTCTTTAAGTACGAGTAAATGAAATATATAAAAATCTTTTTACATGCGAATAAGTGCAATATAAAGCATATATTAAACGCGTTAACTCGTTTGAGACTCTATCGGTCGTGGAGCTAACTGCATTGCCTTAATATTAATTTTTTTTTTTATCAAGGGAAAGATGTAAACTGCGCGAAGCACATATCACTGACACCTTCCACAGGGCTTGCAATAATTTCTAAGCAAATCTTTGGAAAGAGAAGGAGATATAAAAGAGAAGGCACACTTAGAAATTACATTGCGAGGTGCGAGAAAGAAGTGTTTCAAGTAGACGTGCAATTATCTAACAATAAGCTTAACAATCGTGGCTGATCTGTAGGATAATTTCCAAATTTTACCAGCCATGAAACCGCCGCCATATTTGTAAATACCATTTGCGGCCGCATATCATAGTTGTTGATAGTGAATCTTTATCCGATGTACATACAATTAATATTAAGTAGAATCTATGTATTAATAATTGTTACTCGATCCTCGTAGGACGTTCTATTGATTTAATTCACTTTAAAGGGATTTGCAGGATCGCGTGATCGCCGATTCCGAAGAGGATTTAATTAAAATCGATCTCCTCGTTATCACGAATTTACAAGTGCACTCTACCATGAATTTTCATTTCTTTCGTAGACAATCGCAACGTTTTCCATTCGTTCTTGGGATATTGTAACATAAAGTGCCATTTGTAAATACCACATTCTTTGAATAAATTGATAAACCGATTCCCAGTTCGTCGTGCATGCATATTTAGGTTAGTATGTTGGATCGTTCCATAAGTTAATCAAGAAATTATTAAATAACATATATGCATGTGTTGAAAATCTTATGAATACCTTTAACAGGGTGACAAGATGAATGCACTATTAACGCGTGGTTTGTTTCGCAGCAAAAGATGATAACCTTTAGAAATTTGTCCAGTCGGATAATTACGTGGTTACGAATAATTCCCCAGTGTTAAAAAAATTGCTATTCGATACAAGAATATTTTTCTCTATTGGGGGAAATAGTGGGACGTTTTTTGCTGACACGTCCCCAGGAAAAGGGGCGTAAGTCGGGGGTGGTTTCGGCAAGGGTGGCGAAAAGATTGGGAGGCTGCAGGTCGGCGAAAGAGAGAACCTTTTTCAGTCGGAGAAAGAGAGAAGGGAGCCTTTTTGCCCTCCTCTTTCAACCTTGCCGGAGCGCCCTCCTCGAAGGCGTCGTGCTTTATTTCTGATAGCGTCGCGACGCCGCCGCGGACGGGACATTATCGCCACCGCAAAAGACCCTTTCTTCCCCTATAAAGGCAATCACGCTTTCTCCGAGCCGAGATAACGGCAGAACGAAGAGCCGTATCTTTGCCTACCTATCCTGCCCTCGACCTCCGCCATTTTGCACTTTCCACGCGAAACTCGCGAAAATGGGAACGCTTATGCGCCGCTTACAAATATTCTTCAATAACTTAAATTCACGGTGCTTTTCCACGTTTACAAGATATCCCTCGGGCCATGCACATCCTAGTTAAAAAAAACGCGCTATACGAGCAATTAAGGGGTCATGAAATTCTCCAAACTGCATGCACCGCATCATTCGAAACTCCAGCACGTGATTATGGAGGCCCTAAGGAAGAACTCGTGAAATTTAATTTTCCAAACAGATTTTATTTATTTATCCCAGGCTTGAATTAAGAACATATAAATATATTTTTTTTTTTATAAATCAAATTTCATAAGCATTGCGTTCTTCCTTAGGGCCTACATAATTACGTGCTAAAGTTTCAAGTTTCGGCGCTCCCAATTTGTAGAAAGGTTTTATATATTTTTTTCACGGTATATTTATTTAGAGTGATCCTTTCATATCACCTTAACTTTTCCGGGGCGCTCCATTGTTCGCGTCTCGCAAGATGGCGCGGCCGGCGGGAGCGGCGGGTGAACGAAGCCGTGCAAGTTTTCCGAGACGCAGTGCACCCCCGACCGCGGGACGAAGAGGCGGGACGGGACAGGGTGAGTAGAGGCTTTCTCCATTAGTATGCGCGGAAGTGCTCGCTCGCTCGATTGTAGCCCGGCATTGTCGGAGAAGAATGTCCTCGTTGGCGTCGCGGCGTGTCTGACCGTCGGTAAGGAGGCGCACGCCGTTCGAGATGTCAAATGGAATCGAAAGCATTATGCCAGCCGATGAGCTGCAGTCGTAGCATCTTCCTGCTCGAAGATTACGAACGTCGAGTGGCGCATGCGCACGGCCATCATTGATTTCCGCGGGGCCAAAGAAGTCAACAAAATATTGTCCTATTCTTTGGCACGCGTTGGTGCATATGTAAACTAAATATGTAAACTTAGAAAGTCTGCTGTGAAAAATACACGAAACCTAACCTATTCTATCCTAACAACCTGAATAGAAGATTTTGGCACATGCGCACGGCCATCACTGATTTCCGCCAGGACGATGAAATCAAGAAAATATTGTCCTAGGAAGTATTAGGTTATTGTCGAGAATTTGCGTTTTAAGTATTAATTTCTAACGTACCGGGAAAACAATTATTTATTTCAAAAGAAATGTGCAATCTTAAGCTGCGGTAACACTTTAAACTACCTAAAATTGGTTTGATCGTGAAATGTGGAAATGCAAGAAGGTAATTAAACTTTCCTTTGTATTAGAACGTCGGTTACGGTAAAAAATAACGACTTTAGCGTTTTGTCATCTCATGGGGCCAGTGCTCCGGATATCGCGTCTCCCTGGAGAAGAAAATGCGTTCGGTCCCATTTTGAGCGCACTTCATCACGGCTTAAGGTAATAAAAGTCGAAAATCCGGATAGCCGCGCTGGCGGCAATCTCGAGGCTCAAAATCGAAAACAAAATGCCATAAACTATCGAGCTCCCCGGCAGGCTTTCTTGGGGATGGGCCAAGGCGATCGGTGTAAAATCGAACGAGCGGAATAAGTCCCGAGCGGTTTGGGATACGGCTCGGTAAATATAAATAAAAATGGAAAGCCGGCCATTATGGAGCGGTGGAAGTATGACGCATACCCGGCTGTTTCAAATAGATATTTCGAAAGTCGCTCTGCACGCCGTCAGAGCTTCTCTGGACGGCTCGACCTACACCCTCATTGGGTCCGCCATTTTGCACCCCAACCCCCGGAATTCATTTTATTTCCTTTACCAATCCGTATCCAGGCTTATCGAGATATTCCCCCGCGTCCCTTCTCGCGGATATATTCCCGACTTCAACAAAATGCAAAAACGATTCGGACTATTTATCGACCCGCTGGATGCAAACATGAAAATTTC